GTTGAGCGCCAATCATACTTTTTTTATTTGTTGAAAATTATGGGAAACAAAGCACAGGCATCCATATTTAGTCTCATGCACTGTGGCCGTCCCCGCGACGCCTTAGGCGCGGCACGCCTCCCTCTCCCTGTCTGATCCTCTAGCCGCTTAGCAGAATGAGCGTCAGCGTGGAGGAGTGCAGCACCGATGACAATCGCATCAATCGAGATCAACGGGCAAGGGAAGGTCCCATTTCTTGGATTCTGGGTCTTTTCTCATAGTTTCTTCTTCATCTCTGCACCACTGGCCTTCACTCCAGTGGGCTGCCTCCAATCGTAAACTCCGCCTTTAAGTCCAGTGAGGCACCACTCCTCAAGAGCATGCATTCTTCATCCCAAATTACATAGTTCCTGGTTTCAGCGATTTGCAGCAACGTTAACTAGCGCCTATGTGAAGGTGCCGCCGTCACGAGCTTGTGGACGTGGTCATGCTGGGATGTTTCATTTGGAATACGAGTGGCATGACGTCGCACCAAGAGCAGTGCACTTGAAAGGATGTGTATACTCCCTTTCAAAAATTTAGAAGAGCGTCGTTGCAGACCATACACCACAAATGGCGACGACCTCCATAAAATGTATGTAAATGTTTGCTTCCACTGAAATGATTGGCCTGTTGCAGTTGTATCCTGTCAGTTGTGGCCCCAGACAATACCTAACCATTTGGGCGCGGCTTGTCACCAAATACAACAATCATTTATCAAAAATCAGCTATCACCATGAATCACTACGAATCAGATCCACTTGGAGGCCGTCGTTATTTGTGATGGATGGTCTGCACCCAACGCTCTTCTAGTTTTTTTGAAAGGGAGGGTACATATAGTTGGAATCTTGAAGTCAGGTTAGGCGTGTCTTCGGATTTGACGTGGCGGCCGCCGCAGAAGTTGCGCAGATAAGCTGCTTCCAGCATGCATTGCTGATACCCAGCGGATGGGAAACAGCTTATTCACACGACTTTTATCGGACCATTGAGGAAGAATCAAGTAGTCCGTAAACCCTGCGGTACGCAGTTTCAGAAATTATCTTGAAAACAGCGGCATTGCTGCGGAAGCTTCAAAGATTTCGCATGAACTTTTGTTTTATATATTGAGTCTTCAGATTTTGGTTTGAGAGTAGTATCTTGATTCTTCATAAGATATGTCTGTGGTGCTAGTGAATTGAGGGAGAGGGTTTACGTACAGAGCGGTCTCTCAAGCGCGATGACTCTGGATCTGAGATGGGAAGGAGAAGGAAGTCCTATGTACGAGCGATCCTTCAAGCGCGATTGACTCTGGGCCTGAGCTTGGGAGGGAGAAGGAAGTCTGTGAACAGTGTATTTTGTGATTTCGCAGAGATCTTTTAAACCTCTTATCTAAGAAGTGTCCAAGATCTTTTGAACCTTTTCTCTAAGAAGTTTCGGAGGGAGTGTTCAATGCTTAGCATTTGAATTTATAAAGTTTATATTCTTGGTAGGATTCATTGCAAATCTCTGATTAAATAGGACCTTCTTGAAAGCTCCTTACTTCGAGATATTACCAGTTTCAGTAATCTATAGTGATATTGATATAATTTCAGGCTGAGCGCACCCATAGAAGCTGGGCATACTTTGCAAAATCTCGGAGAGAATGGAGGTCAGCAACGGCCACCAATTTTTTCTGTTCTTTAGTAAAATACTAGATGAGACAAACAATCCCTAATGAGCCACTGAAAGATAAATTTTGTTGCAGGGTTCTGAAGGAACTGAGAGCTCCGTAAGCAGCAGCTCAACTGATGCAACCTCTCTGCAACAGCGACGGGTCCGTCGATGTCGCATATGCAAGCGTTTCATGGACTATGAAGTTCTCATCGTTCACATGCAGAAATTTCATGGTATAGAGATGACCAGGGAAGTGAGCAAAGTGGTGCGACCAAAAAAGCGAAGTACTCGATGTGAAGTGGAAGGATGTGATTTTATCGCCCGGTCTCAACTCGCCTACATTAAACACATGAAAGAAGAGCATTCAGCAGAAGGGAAAATTGAACATTACGTGAGGTGTCCGCTCTGTCAAGTGCCGTTTGACGATCACGAAAATCTTGTTGAACACTGCCGAACAGATCATGGAGACGAAGAATGTATAGTGGAAATGCGTACATTTCAGAATGCAAAGGAGTGTGAAGTGAGTTGCTGATTTATTTCGATTTTTGCGGAGGCCAGAGCTTTTCCCATAACTCAGCTTCTTGGCATTGTTAGAAAATATAACAGGTCTGTATTGCTATTCAGCCATAAGCATCATTTATCTTATAGAAATGGAAGGAGTCACTGGTGGAATCTCACTGCACGGCGTTTGTGATTAATGAGGGTTATCAATCCACTTCTCACAATGTCTTATATTACCAATGCAGCAGGTATGGTATTGTCATTTATCTTTTGTTTGATCCTTTTTTAACTTCATTTTTTCTTCAACTTTTATAATATTATGGGATTTTTTAAAAAGTTATCTGTGTAGCCTTCTATGATTTTGAATCTGGATCATTTGGTTAAATCAATATTGAAGAGAGCCCAAACTATCAGAGTTGACAATGAAATGTGCTCAGGCGTCCATCTATCCATATTTTTTCTATACCTATGATGGTAATAACTCTCGCTTCTGGGTTTTTTTTTTGAGATTTGAATGCGAAAACGTAGGGCAGTAGTTCAAGCAAACTCACTTCAGTGAGTTGCAATTCGCGGAAAAAGTGCAACATACAACTCGAATAGCACTGTTTTGGATCAGGAAGTACCAACAATGCATACTGCACTGTTTACTTCAACGTTTCAAATGTAGAAGCCTCGAGATTCAATATAGCGGCGATTCGGAGATACTGGTTCGTTGGCCGGCGTACGTGCGAGGACCCTGGTAAAAAAGATTCGTCATACAAGTGTACGACGACTGGCCAGCAAAACTTGGTGCAAGCTTGTCGAAAATTTCGGTGTGCTCGAAGGTGTTTGAGAAGGTAACAAAGTGGCATGAATGGGCACCACCTGGGCTGAGTGAGCAACAGCAACAAAGCCGTTCAGAGGTCTCGTCGCAGCTCGGTTCACTGTACAAAAACGATTAAATTCTAATATATTTTTTGTTATCTCAGACAAAAACTGAATCCATTGCAACAGTTGTAAGCAATTTTCTCAACATCTAGACAGCGATGAATCTTACCATGTGGAAGATATGCTAGGACTACGCTCATGGTTTCGTGATCATCTGCGGTAGTGATACACACAGCTTTGTGTAGCAAGGTCAACCTAATAGAGCACGCCTGTCTAGCACGCCGACGTGCTGCACCGGAAACAGCAAGGCTTATGTCCAAGAGAAGGAGAGGAGTCATTTTCCATGTTCACTCTCATCTGACGCAACAACCTCGCAAAATGTGGACATTTCGGCCTATCCAGCTCTACTTCGCATAGTGCACTCACACAATTTTTCTCTCTCTCACCACCTCCCACTAACTCAATCATCCTAACTGCTATTGGGCAGGTAAGGACTTGAAAAATGGAGCGAAAGTACTTCTCACAGCTCCCACATTTCGAGTTCACACATTAATCAGCCTGCTTGTTCTTGAAGGGATAGGTAGCTCAATGATTCTGAAATTATTGAACTAAAAAGAAAAATTGTCGAGCTGAGTTATGTTGCTTTGAAGGTGGAGGTCAAAATCCGCACTGTTTTGATTTATAATTTACTTACTTAATTATTTATATTAATTAAATATATTTTGATCGGCTATTCCTGCCTTTTCACTTGTCGGTTCTTTTGTTTTGGTTGTCGCGAAATTCTATCACTCCAAGAATCAGCTGGAGGATTTGAATTAATTTTGGGATCGCTGAGACATGGGTCAAGAAATATGGAGCGCACGAGCTAAGCTGAGCCTTGACCTCGATTGGCGGGTCACACACAGAAAGATGTGATGTCGAAGTCTGAAGGTCGTACTTCATCAGTTCCAGCAGGTGAATAACGGTCGAGGAATTCCTCGACCATTGCTCTCTGCTGGGCGAGAGTAGAGCCAACAGTGAATGTACGCGCGGAGAGCGCAGTCGGCTCGCGGATGGCGAGAGTGAACATTCTCGCGCGAGAACGTAAAGGATCAGGCGAAAATCCTCGACGTGCCGTTGAGGAATCCTCAAGCAATATTCACCTGAGTTCCAGGGCACGCCTACCTAGAAATTGTACGTGACTGTAAGATAGTCTAGAAACAGGAAAACAGTAGGGATGAGCAATGTCTCTGGTGTACTAAAACCTTTGTTCGGATTGAACGAGGCTATCATAAGCAGAAAAGGAGTTAAGTGTAACAGCAAGAGACCGCTTTGAGCTGGTAAATAAAATCACAGTAAAAGTGGAAAAAATCGGGGAATCTAGATAGACCCACAGAGCTGTCATTTACTGTATGTGCTCATCCCTGTATACTCCTACTAGCAGCCGCAGCAATGTAAAATATTACAAGACGATTTCGTGTACACCAACCAACCCAGTGATAACCTTGCTTCGAAATTATTCTAGAGCCATTTTTTACTTTTCCGTAGATTATTGGTTTTTCATTATTTTTGGGCAATTTCACATTACCACTTCAATACGAAATAAAAACAAACAGAACCTAATAAATGGTGCGCTTCAAACCAAGTGATAGTAGAGAGGTTGCAGTGTGAGCCACGGAATAGCTTCGAAAGTTGGTCTTCCCTATGCTCTTCATTTTTGAAGGTAAGGTGAAGACACGTGTTTGTACTCACAGATTGTGAACTTATGATATTCAGGAATTTATCTATGAGGATGGCGCCATCCTTGTCAAGTACTGTACAAGGCATATAAATCACGATCTCAGTGTTCCCGATCTTCCTCTTTCAAAGGCCGACAGAGAGGTCATTGCGGGTTATCTGCGGCGTGGTGTTGGCATAGACATCATTCGAGGTATAATTCGTCAGAAAAATACCAATCCTAAGACTAGGCTTCATTGGATCCGTAACGACGACATCAGAATTACCTTGGCAACTCTCCAATACGAGGAAAAGCTCAAAGAGAGAATTGCATCTTCTTCTTCTGAAGTCAGGTACAGTTTGTTCTTGAAGGTGTCTATTCATTAAACTATGACACTGCGAAAATGCTATACTCGATATCCGAGAGTTGGGGTAGGCGTGTCACCATAAAATACGTGCACTTGACAGAAGCTGTGTGGACAAGCGGCTTCCAACACACTCCGCTGGATATCAGCAACCATGCTGGCAACAGTCTATCCACGCAACTTCTGTCAAGCGCACGTCACTTCCGGTGAAACGCCTACTCCTACTGTCGTATATCGACTGTGTCAATACTTGTTTATCATGAATCAACTGTGAATGTCGTTTTTTCGACACTAGCTATACATCATTAGACAGTAGAAAAGAAGTTTCATGAGTGGCTGAGTGAGTACTGTGTGATGTCTAAACGAAACCGAATGTCATGGGTTGCTCACAGAGTTATCGTTTCAGAGGCCTTCGCCAGACGCAGCTGGCTCCTGCTGTCGCCGACACTTCAATTCCTGCAACATCCTTGCTTGAAGAGTCATTTAAGTGCGAGGGCGCTCGAAAAAACGGTAGTGATGTCTCGGTTGACGTTCCTTCTATGAACTCGGCTGAATCGCTGCTCGGATGTTCTTCTTGTATCAAATTAGCTGAAAAAGTGAGTGAAAATACGAGAACAGATCGGATTTCATAGTATGGATTGGAATTGCAAATTAACTTACAGGTAGCAGAGCTTGAGGCTATCGTGCGAAAACTCAGTGAGCAAATGATGGAGGTGAACGGAGCTCAGTTATTCGAGAGTGCTGTTAAAGTGGAAAAGTTATGAGCAACGACTGGAGAGCTGTTTATTCTACTCTGCTGGTGATCACAAAAGGTAGCAAATTCACGTTGGTAGTTTTTCCAATGAGTTCATACCTGTAACTCAATGCATTATTCATTATTATTCCACTTTGGAATTTGTTGTTTCATCTCTTCGTTATTTTATGTATTGATTGAAATTTTTGGAAGTCAGAACAAGAGTATTTCGAGTGTGATTTGCTAGAACAGAAAGCGACCTTCTTGCGCTTTTTAAATGTTTTTTTTTTCGCTGCGGGAACCCTAGGTTCACACCTGACTAGATGAGAACATGGGGTTTTTAGTAGCGCAACCTTCGTCGCCAAGACGGGTCCCATACCGAAGGCACGGATACACCGGGGTAACAGACCGCGAAGTGATCGCGTAGCAGTAATTCTGACTCCGCCGATCGGGAGGAATTCCTCTACATTCCGGCTGTTTCGTAAGTGGCCGGTCGTGTCGCAGTTATAATATTCGCTGAATGGGTTTCAACGTTAAAGGTAAGATTTAGTGTCACATAAACTAGATGTTTTATGAACTCCATTGCTTCGGCTTTCATTCGAGGTCCTCGTTGGCCAGTTTTGCATGCGTAAGGAGTTGTTGCAATTATCATTTCTGTTCATTCCGGTATGCTGAACTAACTTCTGTCCAACAGCCTGGTAATGCCCGTCCGAAGGTCAACCGGAAGGCTTGGTGATTCAGCTGCTTGTAATGTTTTCTAGGCACTCTCGCATATGCACACTAGTACAGCTTCTCAGTTTTCTTTCCTTTCTTCAAAAGGCTTAGTCATAGAAACAGCACAAAGTATATGCTTTTCTGACTAGACTCACGCTTTGGTTGACCACTGCCTAGTAACCGATATTACCGCTTGGGAGCTTATGAATTACCCCTCCGATCTTAGTGTAAGGGCATTGGGAGAATTTCAGATTTTGCATTAGCGATCACTGGTATTACTGTACCAATCCCTTACTTCTTCTTTATCTCAGCTGCGATCAAGCAGCTTGATGGTATTGTTGAGAGAAGGATTACCTCATCAGTAGCTTCCAATTTGTCCAAGGACGTATTCTAACTATCAAAGTTGGGGTGGTTTCGTGCGGTTTCGCAATCGAGATGGTTTGCGTCACATCTTATTACAACAAGAAGTTTCGGTGTTATCCTAGCATCGACTGAGCATCCTTGTTCCTTATCAAGCTCACAATAAAGTGAAGAGATAGAAAAATAGATGGAGAAGGGTTGCGATATCTATCCGAGATTGAAGATTCGCCTTCCCCACTTTCCAAGCTACATTTCGTTACAAGGTCGCCCCGCGCGCGCTTTCATGCTTCAGTTACATGTTAACTTCTCAGTCCTAATAGTTTCTCTCTATCTTATTACTACCTAGCGCGAGTTACACCATCCCTTTGATTAACCTTTTGGCAGTTTTCAGTGCGCGGTAGCGTCAATTTATACAGGTGGTATTAGACCCCTTATGGTTAGTCTCATGAGAAGCTTTGTACATTCCCAAAAGCGAGCATAATGGCTGTGAGCAAGTTCCGCACAGCTATGCGAAGGATTTTCAGGGAAGTCCTTAGGACATTTGGCGTTTCTGTGGTCCAGATGTATCGCCTGACCGACGCGCTATTGGCAGCGAAAGATTTGACATCGGCGATCTAGCATGGCTCATTCTTGGCGCGGTTGGCGCGGAACGCCCACCGAAAATCTAATTTTTCGTCGCAGATCTATACGTGGCGAGTGATTAGAGAGCACAGGGAGCATAGTGTTTAAGAGGGCACAGCGGTGTGAGTCGCATTAATGCGCAAATCAACGGGCAAGGAAGGGGTCCCATTTCTCGGGTTTTGGACCGTTTCAACTATTATCTTCTTCATCCCTGCTCCACTGGCCTTCTCTACCCTTATTTCCAATGTGCCAACTTTTCATTGTAAATTCGTGATTTTGCGGTACCTAAAGTTGGTATATGTTTACACCATTGATTGCCACAAGGGTCATTTTCCCACAACAGTGTGAAGAATTTGTCAGAATCGCCAGGATAGTCCTGGGTGTAGAAATGTCCACTGGCTGTTGCTTGCCGCTGTTGGGCAAAGGGTGGGCCACCAAAGAGATGATGCGCTCTACATTATGTATCGAGATTAGCCAAATATGTTGTCTTTAGCTGCATGAGTCAGCAAATGTGAACAACTGAGACCCTACGAGCTACTTCCGATCGAGCTCTTCGCCGGCTATGGGTTAAGCGATTGTGCTTCCAGAATAAAGGACAAGTCGTTTGCCGTTGATCAATCCCGTTTTGGGATGCGGCACGCATTTTACTTCCATTTGTACATTCGTAGTGGCATTTGAGTGCGATTTGGCCTATACAATGACTTGCGGGGGCCAGCCGATGTGCAAGTCAGTTTTTTATCCTCTCAAACAAGTCTGGTTCAAACTAACCGACCTCGAGGGGATGGATGGTTTGGTTGGCCCAGACGACGCACGACCCAGTATTCGATCCCCGGACCGCGCGCGTGATAAGCTGCCACTTGCCACCACACCACTTTCACCCGTGCTTCTAGAAATCCATCTTTAGTTACATCTACGACTAAGCGGATGAAAAGGAGGCCAGCACGGCCTATTCTTTGCAACAAGCACATCTGTTAGGCAATGTCTGCATCAAATCCATCAATAGAACCTACTGTTGGGGCATTTATTCTGGCAGTGCGCTCTGCTTCCGTTCACTCACGGCGGCTTTTCGACGGCAGTGATTTTTCGCGGTACATGTAGACTATCGCGATCGTTGTTTTTCGTCAACAGAAAGTTTGGCAAGAGTATCAGAGTTGGTGAGACTTCACCATGGTCTTCCTTGAAACGTCGTGCACAGTTTCTGGAACTTATCCCTTCGTAAGAAGGATTTAGCGCTCGATTCTTCTCCTTCCTCTTGTAGGACCAGATTGGTCCTCCGTCAACCGCCGCGACCTTCCTTTCCTGCGTAAGCTTTACATCTTCCGCTGTTCCTTCCACCTGTGACACCAACACCTCGTGGAGGTGTCGCGTATGCAACAAGGAGATTCACACGGTATAGGGCATCGCCATAATCCGACATGACAGTATATTTTCCGCCTCCCCTTCCCATCTTCCCTTCCTTGCTCCACTGCCCTCCAGCTGCTCCTGCAGCAGTGGAATGACCGGAAGTGTTTATCAGTCTTTCCAATCTGGGAGAGCAATCATGACTGGACTACATCTCTTGTACATGGTACGCCCGCTTCAACGGTTTGCAAAAGTGTACGTGATTTGCCACTCTTGCTTGGCAGATCGCTCTTCGCTAATTCTGTGCACAGAGGTTCATCAAGTGTTTGTGATTTGGTTCGAGTTTATTGCCTATGGCGGTACCTTCTCTTTTTGACAGTAGTGTTCTTGAAAACCAGTTTAAGTCTCTCCCGGCAGAGCCAGCGCGGTGGATAAAGTTTCAACACTCGAATAACGGTGGCAGTGCACGACGTTTTCTGCTTCGAGGATGCCGTTTCCGGACTCGAGTCCAACGTGCTGACACTCTATGGTTTTAATTTCAGACCTTATTCAAAATTCCGTTACTCGGTTGACACACTCAAATCTAAGGATACGCCTGCCCCATGGTGACGATTGGACGCTGTAGTAATCGAAAGTTCAGCTGTTAGAGTGGAGTACGACAGACATGCAGATGTTGGATGGCGGCCTGTGGTAGCCTCAGATGCGATCTACCGTAAGCAGCTTGGTCTTCAGTTACAAGTTGCTCTCATATTGAGCGCATGCGAACGCCTTTTATTTGTTTAATCATTCATTTCGTATAGTTCTGTACAGGCATTATTAATGTGGTGCTTCACTTGTCAAATGTCTTGAACGTAATTGTTATGGTCAGTTATCGACCGCAGTGCGACACGACAGTAAGGCCGATGTCAGACTTCACGAACCGAGCGATTTGCTAGCGTCCGCTGCCGCTGTTGCAGTACCAGCCAATCGAGCCATTAACTGGCCGCGACGCGAGGCCGATCGCATAGCTGATGCCTCGATTCGCAAACTATGACATCGGCATAAGCGATAAGCCTTCACGCCTCCGATACTTGGTTGCGTGCTAACAGAGAACGTCGTCGTAGAGTGTCGGAGGTGAATCGGGGTTCCCGCAGCGCCAAAATGTTCGCGCTGCGAACTGAAAACGTTGGCCCCTGTCGCTAGCGAGTCACACCGAGTATCTCTCCTGAATTATGGATCCGTATATCCGTATTATTGATAGCTTTTGTTTACAGTTTGTTCCCGGTCTCATTATTAGGTTAATTAGTATATTTGCAGACTGTACGATTTCCGCTCATTTCTGTATCTTGTCTACAAATTGTGCTGTATATAACGGGTAAATTGCTGTGTCTCACCCGCAATTTCAGTATTTTGATCTATGTTCATCCTTGCACAACCCACTAAATGGTGTGGTCAGTCCTCAATGTTTTTATGGATGTGTGTTGTATTACTGCAGTTGAGCATCTCCATTTGTTTGGGTTGATTTAGCTTCCTGCCTTTTAGATACTACCCCTTCCGAAGTCTTAGAACAGAATTTAACTAAAACGTGAACCTTATTGCCATGAGTCTTCAATATTTTATGTTAAAAAAATGAAAATTGCAGTGGTCTGTTGCAGTTCCGCCTTTTGGCTTTTGTGATAAGGGAAACGATGCCACTGTTTATCAGGTACTGAGGAGCCGCCCAATTCTGGACCATTAAATGATAATAAACGGCTAGCTAGGTTTCAGAGGTGTGTGTCAGGACGCTCACAGCGCGAAAGGCGACGACTGGATAATTGCCAAGGGAGCTATCGCAACAGCACCCGGTGTTGTTCCCCGTTCATAGATCCGCGCAGGTGCATCGGCGAATTTCCGGCGACTTGGCGATTTACGCGTTGTGATGACGAAGCAAATGGTAATAGTGTCGACGAAGGATCGTCGACACATGCAATCGAAAACGTTATAGGTGAAGTCATTCCATCAATATGTACCAGTCTTAACCAAGCTAATCGCCAAAATCGCCTTTATCGCATAAACGCTGATTATAGATTGATACGTAGCCTCCCTTTCAAGGAACGAGAAAGCATGCGGGGCAGACCGTACATCCCAAGTGCCGAACGGTCTCTCAAGCAAATAGTGGTTTATAAAGTAAATAGCTGATTTTTGGTATCTGATGAGCGTAACTAGTGATTTCATTGCAGAAAACATTTCAGATTTTATTGAGGCGAACGTACTTTCGGTTGTGTGGTCTGCATTCAACGCTTCTTCTCGTTTTTGAAAGAGTGGATGATAGAAGTTCTATATGCATTAGCGTAAATCGATCAATGGCAATATACACCACGAGGCTCAGCGTTGCCACCCCAGGTCTTTTGAAGGGATCCAGTTTCTGAGCAGAATTCAGCATGACCAAGCCAACATGAATCAGAAATTCTGAGTCATGGCTTGGTTAAAACTACTAAAACGTGGTCAGAAGTCATTCGAGCGAACACAAAGGTGATGAGCTTGTCACGTGAATGTTCACCCGGCAAGGCCTGGCATGAGATGCGTTTTACAGGAATAAGCAACGAGCAATGTGTGCGTCTAGAGGCCTAAGGCCATGAGTGCCACGCTCTTCTAACATTATCTATCAAACGAAGCTCCCGCTTCACCCAAGTGTTACCAGTTTTTGCCTTCTCTAAAGAACTCTTTTTCAAGGCTTTCTTTCATTCGCGGCCCGGACAACACACGCAGGTGTGAGCTGCAGAACATACTTCCTATTTCGACCATTTAGAAGATATCTGACATCGAGAGTGCTACCGTATATCTTGGAATTGCCGACGGAGATACGCGAGAAACTATCTTCAGAATTTCCGCGTAGCTGTTTTCTGCAAGTTGCTGCTCGTTTCCTTTATACGTTTCATTTGTTGTATTTATAATAATCTACCGCGTTGTAAGGTTGGTTGACGCACAACTTGAACTCGTCCTTCAAGCCCCTCAAACTGATGTTTTCATCTGCACACTCTCGCCTTATCAGCGGCTGAATGACCCACTGTCGAGTCTCAAGCTATTACTTTTGCCACAGTGTATTGGCTACACGACATGGAGAGCTCCCGCTCTCCAAGGGCTTAGTCGCCAGGCTCTCATTTCTTCCTTGGAACTTTGTATCAGAGCGGGCGCCGTTTCTAAAGCTGTTCTGGCCTCTTCGCCATTCCTTGGCAGATCATAGAGGGAAGTTCAAGGTATCCGTAAACGCGTAAAGGTTGGTCGAACACTAATGAAAAATATTCCACCATCTGTGAGCCTGAACCGGGTGTGTGGTTCACCACCTAGGACAGAAAGCGAACTTGTGCGTTTCGCAGCGCCGAATAACATTTTCGCTGTGGGAACCTCAGGTCCACTGCTGGCTCAGAGGTGGACCTGAAGTTTCCCACAGCGAAAATCGTTCCGCGCTGCGAGAACGCGAAAAATTCGTTCTGTCCTAGTGACCACAACCCCTGAGCGCATGAGGGTGAAGTCCGTAGCGTCTGTGTACGTACATTTCATACGATTTAGAGGCCTTCTAGGGATTTTCAACGCCAAATTGGTGCGCAAGTGGGTTGAGTATCCCCACGCGGTCCCGCGCGGCACTCTGCTCGCGCTGCATTCTGGCTTAGATATGTAAGTTCGAACAGTTTTCACGGTCATCAATTGACTGCCGCTCAGCCTCCCACTCCCCCCCCCCCACCGCCCTAGACCGCCTCCCACACCCTCTGCTCACGATTTCCCCGAAGTCCGCGGCATGCCAGCAAGCAGAGTGTCCGCGCCGCGCGTGGTCCACCAACCGAGTCAACCCTGCGTTGTGCAGTTCGCAACGGCACGTTGAGTGGATCTCAACGCACGCTGTATGGCGAGACGCAGACGGCTCGAGCATGCCGAGTGTGAATGTTCGCGCGAGCGAATGTGTCTAATCGGCGCGAAACTGCGCAAACGTGGCCGTGAAACTGCGCCACGCAGGGTTTGACTCTGCCACCGAACCCACTTAAGCACCCGAGCATAAATAACTTGACATTTCGGTTTTTTTTCTTTTTTTCTTCTGGTAATTATCCAGTCTTTGATTGCCATTGTCAGTTCTTTTGCTCCATGAATGTATGGGTACCGAAGACCTTTGCAGGGCGCTATCGCTAGATACGGGGGCATTGTGGTGGCAACGCATGTGAAACGCGTACGACATTTTCTTCTTTTTTGGAACATGTTGTTTTATGAACACTTCTAAAAATGTAAGTCTTAGGCGGGAAGGAGAGACTCCAGCAATTTGCATGAGCAATCTTTGCTTTCCAGGATTTATTGTCTTCTTCTAGGCCTAGTCCTAGAGGATTCGCCGTATGCTACCTTCAATCAATTCACTTTTTCGCTTTCATGGTCATTTTTTGGAGAATAACTGACATTTCTTATATTCCCACCTGTGACTGGTTTCTCAGTTCCTGATAAACAGCTGAGGGCTACGTTTTGTGGTTTTCTAATCTAAAATCAAACAAATGGTCCAACGAAATGTAAGGTTGCTCGAAAAATGTCATAGAAGAAAGGTGTTCGATGTCGAATAATTGTCTTCCCTCAAGTAAGCTCATAGGAAATCTAATAAGTGGATAAAGGGGTCCTTTTGCTCACATATCCTTGTACCATTGCTCTGGTATTGGTATATATTTATCAGCATTACTTGCAGGATGGCGAAGAAGATCCGGGCCCATCGCTCAGTGCGGACTTGCCAGTGAAAATGTTTCTACAGAGGCAACGTACTCGACAATGTCCTTTTTGCAAACGTTATATGGATTGCAAAATTTTGGCCGACCACATGCAGAACTGCCTTTCTAAAGATGTGAGTTATGAGTTAAAATGTCAGTTAGTCAAAGGGCGGCTTGGTAGAGTTCTTTCACATCGAGGCAAGTTTTCAGCGAAAATTCAAAGTCAAGTGGAGATAATCAAAAATGACATCAGTTATCATCTTCATGCGGTGGTCGAATTAACTCATTGGCAGAGACGGCGCCGGAGAGTATCCTAGGTGTGCCCGTAGTACTCATCGATGAAATCTTTCATGCTTTTTTGTGAAAGCCACTGTCAAAGAACCGCAAGAGAACTAAGCCTTTCGTGATCTTTCTCGTGTATCTGCTCAGGTTGAAGGCGACCGCAAAATTTGATTGCATAATATGAATTGCAGTGTTGTTTCGTTTATATAACCCTAGGTCGATATGAAATAAAATTGTAACCGCTTCTTCATTTGGTAATGCGCGACTTTTTTTTAGCCAGTTAGTACTTTAGTCACACTCCTGTGATTACCATGCTTTATAATCCAGATCTGAATCTCAACCACAACAAAGCCACGTTCATGTTTAACGTTCTTCGATATCCGGCGGAAACTGACAGGAAAAATGTGTATTGTAATAAACAAAATCCAGATAGATTTAAGGGATCAGGCAATTTCCTTCCAATAGTTTAATTATAATCTGACTTGGCAGTCGGGAGCAGAGATCTAACCCGGCGCGTTCATCTTTTCACAAAAGTGTATAAGTGACGAACCCTCTCATCCTTTAGGGCGTTTCCGGGGTTCCCCAACTCACATCATGACTTACTGTGGTAGACCTCTTCCCAATCAATACCCCTGGTCTACCCTGAGCGCCACTCTATTTATATTCGAGACCAGGACACAGGTCCAACTCCGCCCACTTTCTGGGGGAGGGGATAATTAGATATATGGGCGCGGCAAATCTCTAAATTTTGTTCAGTATCCCTCGCTTGCTAAGTTCTACATAAAATCCTTTTTAAATGGTCAACCAACCTATTCGAACGTACCTCCGCCTCGATAATACTACCAAAGATTATTCAGCAACGCTCAAGCCCAAAAAGCAAACTGTGGTTGACCCCTCTACAACCGACAAATGCGCAAATGCGACGGCCTGTCCGTTGGAATGCCGAAGTGAAAAGGTGACGGGCCGGCGGAGGAACGTTTACCCTTGGTGCGTAAGTGCTGCACATGAACTGAGGGCAACGCGGCCTTATTGGGAGGAAAAAACTGAACGACTCGCGTCATGTGGCTGGGTGTCGAACGCACGGCGTGTACCAACGTACTATATACATCCTAATGTTGCTGCATTCCAATCCCGTACCGGAAAATAGAAAATATGGGAAACCACGAGAGCCTCACGAAGTCTCGGCGTTATAATAAGGGTTATTGGTGTCCGAAAAAATCCACTCTATAATCGTTCCTTATTCTTGCGAGCATTGGAGGGAGAGGCAGTAGGGGGTTCTTTTCAACTAATTTCTCTACGTCTTGTTTATCCTGCTCGGGTATTTCGTCTCCATTTGTTTCAAGGCACTGCTACGTATGTGTTATGCTGGTGAATCGCTTGCGACAGGCGCTAAGCCTAAATAGGCAGGCTTGCGCGCTTCAGTGTGCTTGCTTTTTTGGCATGTAGACAGTGGATTAGAAGCTTTAGAGTGCAAAAGCCACCCCTAATCGCCGTACTACTCGCAATACATCCCCTCATATTTTCATATAGAGCCCACAGATATATTTTATTTCCATTTATTTAGGTTTATTTTAAATGAAAGCACCTGAAATATGTATGTGTGTTTATAGTTTTGTAGTTTGATCATCGCTAGAATAAAAACTTATCTCACACATTACTGTCACAGATCTGTTTTGCAGCGCCTGTGTCGACTACAATTCGCGGTTCTCGAAAAGTCTACGGAATACGATTCTCTGACCGGACATATCGTCAGTTTATACCAATATTGCTATTCCTATCTTGCAATTCGACCTTCTCGAAATCGCAAATGCGACCCCGTAGTACGAACGGGTTGATCCTGGTCGTAAGTGCCAGGCAGCAGTGGAACTGAGCAACGACGGCTATTGGGAGGATAATCGCGACTCGTGTCATGTGGCTGGGTGTCGAACACACGGAGCGTACCGAACGATATCATCAATGCTTTGCATTCCAACTCCTGTACTGCGCAAAGAAAATGGGAGTTCGAGAGGCATCATGAAGTCTCCGGAAAAATGTCTATAGTGGCACAAAAGAATCCACTCTATAATCGTTCCTTTGGAGCATTGGAGGGAGAGGAGTAGGGGTTCGTTTCAAAAATTTCTCTTCACGTCTTAGTTAATCCTGCTCGGTATTCGTTCTCCATTTGTTTCAAGGCACTGCTACGTATGTGCAGCTGGTGATGGCTGCAACAGCTAGAGCCTAAAATAGGGAGCTGCGCGCTCAGTGTGCATGCTTTTTTGCATAGACAGTGGATTAGAAGTTTTTAGAGTGCAAAGCAACCCCAATGCCCGTATACCTCGCAATACATACCCCTATATTTTCATATAGAGCACACAGATATATATTTATTTTCATTTATTTAGGTTATTTAAATGGAAGCCACCTGAAATATTTATGTGTGTTTATGAAGGTTTTGTAGTTTGATCATGGCTGATATGACTTTCTAAATTACTTGTACATCTTGCAGGCTGGTGGAAACATTGAGAGTTCTTCGAAAAGTCTACGGAGATTCGATCTCTTGAAAGGACGTACTCAGCAATGTACCATCTGCAAACACTGGATGGATACCAGGGTTCTGGTCTTCCACATGTGGGAATATCACCGCAAGGAGGTTGAGGCAAACCACGAAGAAGAGGCAAACACTGTTAGCGAAACGCCAACGAAGAAAGGTCGCTACGAAAGTACAACCGTTGACAGTGATTTCGAAGCAAACTGTTCAACGAACCATCATCTTGTCGAAGATGGGAAAGGACGTTATTGGGTGAGATGTCCCATATGCGAACATCAGCAACTGAGCCAAGAAGAACTCATTAATCATTGCTTCCATGTTCATGAAGATAAGTATTCTATTGTCCAACAACGTATATTCAACAGTGCCCGAAAATGTGAGGTGAGTTGAGAATTTTTCAGTTGTAATGGTACTCCTCGTGTCAGTTCAATTTCGTCAATCTCTCTACCCAACCATGTAGATCCAATGGATGATAACCTTGTGTAAGGCTGCTACAGACAAAATACTGTTCTAAGCGCTAAAGAAGTGTCACGAATGGAAGCAGCGCTTGCGAAAGCTCGGAAAGATAGCGTCACGACAAATGTACCCCTCCATAACTTCGGTTACACGTCAGCGCAGGCTTGCTACCGATCAGGAACTGAATGATAATTACAAGAAGGCAGATTGAGATGAAGCATCGCCCTGATAGTGTGATCGTTAGCCCTGCTGCCCGAAAAGTGAGAGGTGTGGGTATCAGTTCTCGCCTGGGGTTGTGTTTTGCCTATAAGTGAGCATCCTTAGGATATGTTTTTGGCAAGCTGTTCAGTGTTGACCGGGTTAACTTTCTATGGTCGCCTTACCGTATTAAAGCAATTTGTAGCCTCCCTTCGCTCTTGTATTTAGTAGGGAAACTCACCAGGTCAAAGGAGAATTAGGGTTCTTGATCTGGTACCTCACTATCTCAATCCATTACTATTATGGTTCCCCTGAATCATTGGTGCATAATGTTTGCATTATTTAGTTATGGAAAGAGTCAATCAAAAAATCACATTGTACTGCTTGGATAGAGACTGACCGATATCGAACTGATACACAAGTGGTTGTGCTATACCGCTGCAGCAGGTTTGAAAATCTTCATTTTGCCATTTTTCTTTGTTCTTCAGATAATTTCTTTGTTAAAGAAGTCACCAACTGGATCTCGGTAGATGATTCCATGTTGTACTTTTCTGGAAGACAAATAAAGATATTTCCAGGGTGATCGGGAACGGGGCCCATTGCGATAATCTGGAAGAGGTTGGGCCTGGTGAGGTCTACAGTTGCACCTCATTTTTGAAGGTAGACTGTTGTTCTCTGATCACGAAATATTTATCGGATTCCTAGATGTTAAGGAGCACATAAGCGATGATGGTAGCGTTCTGGTGAAGTACTGCACACGACATGTCGCTCATGAACTAGAAGTTGCTGAGCTGCCTTTTTCCAAGTCAGATGAGGAGTTCATTGAGGACTTGATAAGGCAAGGCCTCTCTATGGTCGCTATTCGACGCAAAGTTCGAAGTCATTTCGGCCCTACGGACAGACTTCATTGGATCACGGATGGTGATATCCGGAACATATCGGCAAGACTTGACCGCCGTCAAGACAATCTCGAATTTTCGAACGATGCCTCTCCTGGAACAAGGTTCGTTATCTATTTATATTGTTTACACAGTAGTTACCGTGACCCTGAAATCGTGAATATATTAATTTTTTGGAGTATGGCCTTGATGGTATATTTTCTGGAGAAGCGTGAGAATGTGGTTGCCTATAATATCAAATTTATTCAGTGTTTTAGCTCCACAGCTGAAAACTCTCAACCGCCGCATGTCCAGTTATCGGTCGGTGCAGCAACGTTACTGGAGGAAGGCGGCGTAAAAAACGAAGTTGTGAGCATGAACAGCAATGAGGAAAGTGGCCACAGATCCAATGAATCTCCTATTCGAGGCGAATCCTTGCTTCAGTGCCCATCTTGTGTGAAACTAAGTGAAAGGGTACGTTTGGTTATCAATTAATCATTTTTTGGAAACTACAAGGGCCTTTTTCAGATGTTTGAACTTGAGGACGTTGTGAAAAGACTCAGCGATAGATTGATGGAGTTGGAAGGCTCACAAGTTTTCGTCAGTAATCTGAAAGAAGAGCGCATTTAGTAAATTGGACATCATTGATGGTATTTTGAGATGTTGTATGAGTGGTTCAGCTAGTTATCTGGCCTAGAAGTACGATATTCGTTTTTGGCCTTTTGGATCTATATGAACTGATGTGCACTTTTATCCATACTTGAATTTTTTCGGATCTCTGGTATAAACGGGTTTCTTACATTCTGATTAAGTCAACGTTGTCTCTAGGCAGCAACCATGATTTCCCTTTATCTGCCACGCTACGTTCCCATCACCTCTGCTGCGCACCTCGTTGTATAAGAGAAAGGATTTACATAGCATGGAAGATTTCCCAGCCATGCACGATAAAGCGGATGGAGCATCAACAATCGTGATGACGCAGAAGAAACTAAGTCGAAAGCGCTTATTTGTTCGACCCCTATCCTAGATGTGCGCAAGAAATCTCGTCCATTTAATCTCATTTGCTAAAAATGGCTCGTTTTATAAGGCTGCAGCCACTTTCCTGCGCGGTGTTGAGCCGCGACAACGGCACTGCTGTGATACTCGAGGACAACTATGTCCTAGCCACTGAACAGATTGCTCTACAGGAGCTCATGTGGGTTTGTTGCTTCAGGGACATACTGCTCATTGTTCACCTTAACTATGTTTGTACAGCTTGTACATTGCCATCTATTTTTTTCCATTCCTCAGATTATCACCTACGGATACCCCGCTTCCGAGAACCAGAAGCGCATCGAGTGCAGACCACACAGCACAACTGGCGGCGGTCTTCACGAAATCAATTATTTTTTGTCAAAAAGTAATAAGCCAGTTGCAGCTGTATCTTATCAGTTGTCACCAATCACTGCTCTTATTTACCAACTATCAATTATCACTGTGCATCGTTAGTTACCAAATTTGCTTGGATGCCGTCGTCACTTGTGGCGTGTGGTCTGCACTCGACGCGCCTCTGGTTTCCTGAAACAGAGGGTTGTCGATTTTTTCTACTGAACACCGCCCAACAAGAGAATGCGTCGCCCATAATAAATTTTTTCCCGAATCTGGCATTGTGACTCTTTGCAGATAACCATCCAATTTCTCCAGTCTCTAGGGTATTCAAAAATCGAAAAGAATTTCGTTCCAGCACCGTATTACTGTTTGGATCGCCCAGCAAGTCTGGCACTCCTTCGCGCAACCCGATACTCATCAACCCTTCATTATCCGTGGAGTTACAGTAGTTTTAAGGCGGATTAATTGGGGAGCGTGCACGTGCATGTGGACCGCAAATGGTTGCAAAGTTTGATGAGATGGGGGCGTCATCAACAGCATTGGTCCCAGATCATTCCATATCGATCAATTTCGGATAAATTAATGACTTTCCCTTGCAAAAAGGAAAAGAAACGGGTATCAAGTCACAATAGGGTTCGTCCGATCCCAGAGACGGAATCCGATAAAAAGACACAATTTTGGTTGAAGTTGACGGTATTTGAGAAGAATTTCGAGATCCCAACTGGTACCATCGTTTGGTGACGCCAGTTAAGATTCCCTCACGATTAGCCTCTCAAGCCAGTGTCAGACTTTGCGAATCGAGCGAATCGCGATGTGCCAGCTGTTGGAATGATGCGCCAGCCGCTCGAACGATGTGTCAGCTGCTCGAACTATGCACATCATTAGAACCGCTGATGCATCGTTCGAAGCGCTGGCGCATCGTGCGAACCGCAAGGTTTGGCACCGGCCCTACACGACAACCGTTTTGCGCGCGCGATATCGTGCCCACCTGGTGAAAGTCACTAAAGTCTGAGATAACGTCAGCCTTCACTGACTTCCGTCGTAAGCGTCTATTCCTCACTGGGAGGCAGACTCCTTCTTGTTTTTCCTCTGCAGCAGTAATAAGGGTGTGATGTGCTGGACAAGCGAACTTCCGTTTTTTTCGCAGCGCGGAGCATTCACTGCGGCAGGAAGCTGAGGTCATAACTGACCAATAGGAGACCTAGTTCTCGCAGCGGCGAGAAAGAGTTTTGCGGTGCTGCTGGATTAGTTCTTACACACTACATCTATTTTTT